CAGTTGTTTTACCAGAGTTGCTGAAATACTATAAAATGACTAATGTTCAATCCCCTTCTGGTTCCTCTCTCTGGCAGAAATATTGTGAGTGGTAAAAGGCCCAAGAGTTGGATGGTGGGAAAGGGAAAATGATATGTTTTCATATCCTGCATAAAATGCCCCTGGCCAGACAAAGTACAGCAGGGTCATCCCTGGGATTGAGCTTTCGGTGCCTCTTCATTAATGCCTGGAAAGTGATAGACCCCAGTGGACGCTTCCCAGGGTTCCAGGGAAGAGGGGAGAGAGAAGACTGCCCAGACACCACAGGCAAAGACCCTTAATCAGCAGAGCCTGTGAAGGCCCCGGGAGAACTGACATCTTTATGTTGGAGGGTGTGAAGGACCCTGGTCTCCGGCTTCAGGGATAAAATATCCCCTCAGAATATGGCTGTGCAGGCCCGAGGGAGAGGGGAGCTTTCCTAATGTACGACGGGAAACTCCCTGTGGCCCAGATCAGTTACCTTTGATCATGGTCCTCTGGCTCAGCCCACATTGCTTTCTGATGTGCTTCTGATTGTGCTTCCTGAGTCCCCACCCAGGAGTCTGTAACGTTGGCACCAAATCACCTATTTGTTAAGTACTTCCCTTGTGTCTAGCCCTGAAAACAACTGAAAGACCTCACCACTGATTTCTGAAATTGGAGCTGTCTTCATGAGGTCATTTAGTAGCTTATAGACCTACCCCAGGGCAAGGAATAAACTAAGTGGTCTAAAGCAGTCTAATCAAACTTGACTGACCATCATATCATTGGAGAGATTTTTAAAAATACAAATTCTGTGTCCATCCTTGAATATTTTGAGGCAATAGGTATGAGGTAAAGCCTTGGGATCTATTTGGGGGGAAGGTCGTTTGGTTTATTTTTTGTCTCGTCTTATTTTTAAGCTAACCAGCAGGTCTTGAAAAGTCAGTCAGGTTTAATATGTTCATTTACTTCTGGGTAAGCCTGAACATGTGCACCCTAGGATAGAAAACATTTGATTTTTTTCTCCTGAAACTCTCCATTAAATTAAGACCACCTCACTAGAAAAAGAAAAAAAAAATCACCCACTAAAGCCCCCAAATTTACCAATTGTGAATTTTTTTTCATTATGTTATCTCCTCTCAGAGTGACAATTATTATACAAATATGACCAGAGGAATACTGAAGTCTACAACACCTTAACACAGGAAGATCTTTCCTATGGTTTCCACAGGTGACCAGGTGTGTGGAAAGGTGAGAGGTAAAGGGGGAAAACACACTAAGTGGGGAAAGTATTGAAGTGCTTCCTACTACACAGCCTGCTCTATACCTATTCAGACTGGCGACAGCATCCTCATTTTGCCTAAATCACTAGCACGGATCAGGGAGGGACACATGTGCCAGCTGGTGCACATGAGAGGCCAAAGATGAAATAATGATATTGACCCACTGTGACCAAACTCTGAGCAAGCAGATGAGGCCAAGGCCTTGCCAACGTTCAGCCCCATCCTTGCTGACTTCTTGTATATTTGGGGGTCTGAATTTTTTTGCAAGTGGATGATCCAGCATCCCTGTGACAGATCGGGGAAGCCCTAGAGTCATTGCTCTCTTGTAATCATAGATGGCCATCTGTATGGCTCCTTGGCTTTTAAAGCAGTCGGGAAGGATGTTGACAGGGAAGGAAACTGAGAGTTAAGATACTAATGCTGACCAAGTGTGGGAGGAAAAATAATCAATTCAAGTAACTGAGCTTCCTGAATAACAGCAAAACTAGTCATGTTAGGCAAAAACCAACCTTTATTTCATGCTCTGATATGATCTCACTGTAGCAGTAAGTGTACACACATGCCCACATACACACACACACACTCACACACTCTGTAACCTTCCCTTAGTAGCTATGCAGTTAGGGAAAAGATGCAAGTAGAAATTAAAATAAGGTACCAGGTTCTTTAGAAATGATCCACCTGGAAAAGAGCCTTTAGGGCTCGGATTGTAAGGTATAACCAGTTTTAAAAGATTGCTGGGTGAGAGGGTGCTGCTCTCCCCTTTCTGTGGACAGACCATCTGCTTTTGCAGCATTTTAAAGTAAAGATCTGAGTAAGGGCACCTCCCCAGTTTGGTATATGAGGTCCCCAACACTGTGACCCATATCCGCATTTTCATACTTCCTGTCTACAAATGCTTTCTAATTAAGCCAAATTGGACTTCGCATCCTTTCCTGGATATACTTTTAACTCTCTGATCTCCAAGAGTAGAAACCATTTCTTCCCTCACCCAGAATGTCTTTACCTCCACCTTAGTCTGTCAATATTTGACCCCTCCTTCAAGACCCACCTCATGCCACCTCTTCATAAAGGTTGAGCCATTTCTTCTAGTCAAATCTAGCCTTCCCCTTTCCCCACACTGCCTTAGTGTTTTGTTTGTACCTCCCTCCAGGCCCTTCTGTGTTCTGTACCATATTATAGCTGGCAGCTTCTAGACAGTTGCTGGGACAGGACCCTGGTTATCTCTGCATTCCCCACACTACTAGGCACAGCTCTCTTAGAACAAAGACCCTGGACTTCTTATGAGAACATCCAAGCCCGGAACACCATCCCTGCCACTGGTGGTGGTATTAACCATGGGCCAGTTGTTCATCCAGGGTGATATTCAAAATACTTAGTAACTGGCACGGCACAGGCCCCATCAGTCCACACGGATGCCACTTGGACAGACTGAACATCAGCCCTGTTTTTGTGCCTTTTTCATCTGCAAAGTGACTGTGTCCCTACCCACCTCACAAGGTGGATGTGATGGTCAAATGAGACCAAGCATGTGGAAGTACTGTGTAAGGTGAAAAGTGCTGTGCTCAGGCGTGTCCAGCTGTTTAGTGTTATTTTCAGTGCCATGTGGGGTTGGTGGCCCTGCCCTCGGCATCCCCTCCTACTCTGCTCTGCTCAGAGCAGGCTCCAGAGCTGACCAAGGACTTGCTGATCAGTTGAGGACACAAGTCGAAGAAATCTTGGCATCAACCTATTAGATCCCACAGAAACTCAGGATATCAGCTTCTTCAGGCATCTCCCTCTACCCTTTCAGTCCTGAAAATGTCAGTTTTTCAGTGGATATACTTTGGCAATTCTTATCTAGATCGCAAGCCCAGGAAGGCTTTTTGAACTGTAGTCTAAGCTTTTCTCACTTGAGGAGAATTGTTCTATTGCACAATGACGTTAAATTTCAGGACCCTTAAAGATATCTGGGAATCTCTGATTGTCACTGTGTCAAGGGGATGCTCTGTCTAGATCTGTAAATGGAATTAAATGCCAGTGGCATTAACACAGGTTGAAAGAAGAGCCTGAACATTAGGTCCTGCTTTATGTCCTTATCGTTTGTTGATCCGTCTTTTTTACCCTTTCTTCTTAAAAACTGTGATTATTCCTTTACCATCACCTCCTTGCATCCCCTCACATCTCAGGCATAAAAATCCTTTCTACATACACCTTTCTTCCAAAGACATTTAACTCTTTCAATAAGTGCACAGCTACTGTTTTGTGTTTATCACTGGCTACTAGTCAGTATCTGTTCTTATACAGAGCAGTCTCCCCTTACCTGAGGCTTTGCTTTCTGAAGTTTGTTACCCATGGTCAACTGCAGTCTGAAAATATTAAATGGAAAATTCCAGAAGTAAATAATTCATAGGTTTCATTTTCTTATTTTTTATGGGATATTTTTAAATCTGTTTTTTATTTTTATTTTTTTATTGAAGTAGAGTTGATTTACAATATCATGTTAGTTTCAGGTGTACAGCAAAGTGATTCAGATATATATATATGTATATATGTATGTGTGTGTATATATACATATATGTGTGTGTATATATACATATATATGTGTGTATATATATGTGTGTGTATACATATATATATATATGTTCTTTTTCAGATTCTTTTCCCTTATAGCTTATTACAAAATATTCAGTACAGTTCCCTGTGCTATACAGTAAATCCTCATTGTTTATCTATTTTATATATAGTGGTGTGTATCTGTTAATCCCAAATTCCTAATTTATCCCTCCTCCCCTTTCCCCTTTGGTAACCATAAGTTTGTTTTCTATGTCTGTGAGACTGTTTCTGTTTTGTAAATAAGTTCGTTTGTACTAATTTTTAGATTCCACGTATAAGTGACGTCATAGGGTATTTGTCTTTGTCCGGCTTACTTCACTTAGTATGGTAATCTCCAGGTCCATCCATGTTGCTGCAAATGGCATTATTTCATTCTTTTTATGGCCAAGTAATATTCCGTTTGTGTGTGTGTGTGTGTACACACACACACACACACACACACACACACACACACACTCCACATCTTCTTTATCCATTCATCTGTCAGTGGACATCTAGGTTGCTTCCATGTCTTGGCTATCGTAAATAGTGCTGCAGTGAACATTGAGGTGTATGTATCTTTTCGAATTAGAGTTTTCTCTAGATATATGTAGTGGGATTGCAGGATCATATGGTAACTCTATTTTTAGTTTTTTAATTGCATGGCATTCCGAGTATGATGATGAAATCTCACACCGTCCTGCTTCATCCTGCCCAGGACATGAATCATCCCTTTGTCCAGCAGATCCACACTGTAGACTCTACCCACTCACTGGTATAGGAAAAAACATACATGGTGTATATAGTATAGGGTTTGGTACTATCTTTGGTTGCAGGCATCCACTGGGGATGTTGGAATGTACCCCAGAGACTACAGCGCTGGACTCAGAATGAGAAAATAACCAGCACAATAATTTGTAGTCCCTTCCTGCCACTTCCTAGCTGTGGGACTACAAATGAGTGGTAAGGATGAGTAATTTTACCTCCCTTGTGTCTGTTTCTTCATGTGTGAAACAGCAACGTCTACCCTGCAGAGCTGTGGCGAAAATTAGAATGCCTATAGCAGGGCTCTTTTGTGCCCATCTCAAAAGGAGATGGTTCTTATTATGATTACAAGACACTGTTCAGCAATAACCCTCAGGAAACTTTGAAAAAATAAAAGTTTATTGCTTACAAGACCTGGAAATTACACAGCATACCTAGGGCCACACAGCAAGGTTGGGGTGGGGGGAGGGAGAGAGGAGAGAAAGAAAGAGAAAGGGCACGCAGGCCAGGGGTTCTGAATATATTGGGGTCGAGGGTGGGTCTAATGTTTGATGGGCTCAGTCTTTATTGGTGAAATTAAGACATAAGGGCAGGAGTTTCTAAAGTATGAGGAGAGGAAAAAACAAGTAGCCCAATGGTCAGTTATTGAAATCAACCACAATGTGTAAAACCAAGGAGCCTCAGTGCAGGGAGGTGGCCTGGCCCTTTATCTAGTCTTGTGGCTGGCAGTGTGTGTATTTGAGAGATAGCCGTCTTTGAAGGATGCCTCTTTGCAATGGATGCCTCAGCAATCAAAGCTTAGGTCAGGCACTTGTGCTACAAAACAGAAAAAACAAATACAACTATCACCACAATAGCCTAGCCCACCCAAGCACCAGGGGTGCTCAGTACCTTTCCAGGTAGGCTGGCACCAGAAACCCTCCAGAGCTGAGATGGAAACGATGTGCCTTTAATCTTCTCAACCCAGAATGAGCAGCAGTGGGATACAGTGGAAAGGGCCGGGCTTGAGGTGAAAGACCTGGACTCAGGTCAGGCACTCACCACGCACATGACTTTAAGCAGCTCACCTCACCTTACTCTGTTTCCTCGTCTGTAAAATAAAAATAATACCCATCCTGCAGAGTTGGTGTGAGGTTCAAATAAGCTAACGTGCAAGGAGAGAAGGCCCTAATAAATGCATGTTGTTGGTACTTCAGCAGTGGCGCGAGGTTTCGTGTGCTACGTGACTACTGTACCGTCAGGCAGCCTAGATATTTAGGACCCACCAGTCAACCAGATATCATGGTGGTTTGGACTTAGTGCAGGACCTTGTTCTCCCCAAAAGATATCAAAGTGCTTTCCTTATCTTGACTGATCTCCTGATTATCTCTGTGCTGGGAGGGATGGAGGCAAGATATTATCAAGCTTTTATTCTGCAAATGAGCAAACTGAGGCATGGAAATGACAGCGCTATCCCAGGGCTTGGTAGCCTGGGTTCAGATCCCAGGACTGCCATTTACCAGCTAGACTTGGGCACGTTGCCTTACCCCTCTTTTAACCTCGGTTTCTTCATCTGTCATGACAATACCACCTACCTCGTAGAGTTAATACATGTGAAGACCCTCTTGGAACAGGGCCTGGTACTGCGCTCCATGTATGTTTAACAGCTGGAGAGCAACAGAGACCGCCAGTGGGAGAGGGAGAGGGAGAGAAGTCAGGCTGGACTTTGAATGTAGTTCACTTGTTCCGGTCAGATGCTGTATTTCCTCCGGCAGAACACCAGATAGTGCTCCCGGCCTTCCCATCTTCCGATTGGTATCCACTTTGTGAGTTTCCGTTGCATTTTGGCTGTTTCTGTAAGATGGTGACACAGCGCCAGTTCATGACGTGAGCTGTTTTGAAACCCCTTCTTATTTGCTCTTGGCTCCTGAGTAGAGAGCAGTTTTTTCTTTCCTTCAGTGAATAAGAGATTCCTCACCCACCTGTGAAGCTCTGTCTTTCAGAGTCATTCCTGGGTCCTCATGCAGATTTCTCTCTAGCACCTCAGTAAACCCTAAGAAATCCTTCTGTCTTGAGGGCCCGAGGGGCGGGTTGCACTTAGAACGTAGAACTGGAAAGAAGTTTGGAAGGCCCCTACTTACTCTGCCATGGATTGGAACCATGCTTGCAGGAAACCACATCTGGTCTCATGGGCACGGACAGTGTGACAGACCAGCGTGGACAGCCCCTCTTTGGGTTGTGGTTAAAATGAAGTATTTCATGAAAAATCATTGTTCCACTCTGGAATAACGAGAGCCTAGCAGGAGCAAAGTAGTGTTCCAAATCCAGCAAGAGAAATAAGAACAGGTCGCCACCCTGACAGTGCTTCCCAGTTTACTAAGCGTTTCTCTGTCTTTAATCAAAGGTAATCTAATCCTCACCACAACCAAAGACAGGGCGAGGAGGCTTTCAGAATAACTTCTGTCTGATTACAAAAGATTTTACTCAGTCCTTTTACCATACGTGATGGTGTGATGATGTTTTTTGTCCAGGCCTGTTCATTGCAGAGAATTATGAGTCAAGGACAGTTTGTACGGTGAAAGCACACAGTTTGTGGTGAGACAGTGTTGGGGGCAGTGCCATTTTATGGCAATGTACACCAATTGCTTCAGCCCTGTCATGCACCGGAACGAGATTAACTAGGCGTCTAGGTCTGTTAGGATCAAATCAATACTGAGAAAAACTTTCTGAAGAAGGCTGAGTTCGTGGCTAACTAGTAAGTCTCAGACAGGCCTTGTGTTATTTCACTAGGTCAGTGTTTGGAAAGTTCCCTGAGCTGCTGCTTAATACCTATCCAGCCTGTCAACAAATACGCTAAAAAAGGCCCAGGATTTAACAGACAAGATTGAAGCGATAGGAACGCGCTCCAGCAAGCAAGGAGAGAGCAGAGGGAGGGCTGCCCCAGATTCCCTTCCCTGTTGTGTTGTGTCTTTGTCTTGGGTCCGCTGGCCTCCCTCCAGCCACCTGCGGGCAGCTCTCTATGTCCTCGGGAAGCTGAGCCTGGGCCCTGCTGCCTGTCCGCCCCCCGCCGGGCACATTCTTGTGGTGCTGTGCGGGGGACAGTCACTGTGTGAGCCAAGTAGGCTGCGTTGACAGCAGCTCACCAAGGACTCAAATCACAGCTTCTCTACCCAGCTGGACAATTCGATTGTTCCCAGGGACTTAGATGGGCCTCGGAGAAGCGGCCACCTGCCCAGGGTGTTCAGTTGGTGCCGCCTTCCAACAACGGCTCTTAGAATTTGAGGTCATGGCTTCGTCCCAGAGTCCATCACAGGGTCGCAGACTCCATCACAGTGTCACAGACTCCATCACTGGGCCGCTGACTCCATCACCAGGTCGCAGACCCCATCACCGGGCCTACCTCATACCCATCATGCCTCCTCCTGCCCCTTGTCTTTTAGTGCCGGCCCAGCCCCCTGACCTCCACACTTGGGACTGTGTCCAATTTGCAGAACGGAAGAGGACAGCTTCCCTCACGACTTCTCAGACCCCTGATTCTTGAGACGTGACAGGTCTGGATGGAGGCTGCAGTCCCCAAGGAAGGCCACGGCCTTGCTCAGCAGAGGCAATAGAGCTGAAAGCTCTTCTTCACTTTAGGCAATTCGTGCGCATGATTAGACATTTATAGATTGCAGTCGCTCATCCAGAAAATCTAGGTCATCCTTTACATAGAGCTTCACGCTTCGGAAGCAAAGCCGTGCTCGGGGAGGACCGTCCCCGTGGCCGTCTGCTTTGGCTGAGGGAGCGGAGCTGCTGTTGCAGGAAGAGGGAGAGGCGGGCCACTCAGGGGCTGTGAGCTCTCAGGGCACTGGTGTTTTCACCCACGTGGCCACGGGCTCTCTGGGGTCTAGTCGTCCTAGCTAAATGGTGCCAGTAACAGCCTTTGTGCTGATGTCATGAGAAGTGGTGGGTTTAAGGGTTCGGGTCTCCAGGAAGATTTTTAGTCTGTACTGTGACTGCAGTGAGAAGGGCAGGGTTGGTATGTGGATGTAGGGCTTTTGGGGGAGAAAAAGAGATATGGGTGTAAGAGGTTTAGCCTTGTAGCATGCACAGCTGGAAGTCAGAGCTCTTCCCAGTATACCTAGGCCTTACGCCGCTCACCTCCCAGCAATCCCCCTAGGAGAGGTAGATGCCAAGGAAGGAGACCTGGGCTGGGGGCCAGAGGGCCGATCCTGTCCAGGACCTTCCACTCACCAGCCCTAGACCATGGCCAACGCACGACACCTCGGTGTCCTCCTCTTTAAAACTGTGCCCACGGTGCCAGCTGCTCGCAGAGCGGTACGACTCAGGTGCTCAGCCCAGGTGGTTCTGTCCCTTGAGCCTCAGTGCTGTGAAAACAAAGTCTTGCCCTCAGGCGTTCCCGTCCAGGGAGAGCAGTGGCTCTCCCGCTGCTGGGGGCTTCAAGGACAGCTGTGTGTGCACGCGCACGTTTTGTCTGGGTATGATATACCAGGTTATCCCAGAGGGAGCCAGAGCGGGGCTTAGATTTATGAGGGCTGGGAGCTTCCCTTCTCCCGCATTCTCACCCTACGTTAAAATGTTCTTCCTTGGGTTAGAGCACCAAGTACTCCAAGAAGTCGCTGTTGCTATGCAGACATCTGAGAGGATCCACCCATGCGTCCTCCCCTCCTCCCCGAGGAATGTGCTCATCAGGGTTAACTGGGCAGCAGTCACCAGGCAAGGCCCAGAGGGCATGAGATCAGGAGTGAGGTGAGGAGGAAAGTGGGTTTGGGAGCACCTGGGAACGAGGTGCCAGGTAGGGCGGAAGCTGAGCAGGCACCGCCCTTCCGACCCCGGGTCCGTGGATGAGAGCGGCAGCCCGTGGTGCTGAGAGCTGACTGCAAGCATCTCCTCCCCGCTCCACCGTCTGACTTCATATTGGTGGCTTGGAATCGGCCACAGTGGGGGTATTAATACCACAGAAATCTGCGTGCACCACAAATCAGGGTCCCCCTCACCCCCCAGGAGAGCTGTTGTTGAAACTCTTACCAGTGCTCCCCCAGTGGCAGCCACGCGGGTTCTCACGCTTGCCCTGTGAAGCGAGACTCCGTCCTTAGCAAATCCCTTGCTTTCTCCTGGTTGGAAAAAAGATTAAGGTGCTGCCGATACATGTTGTAAGCTGCTCAGGTAGTAAAAGCTCTGAGGGTTCCAAGTATGTGTGCGTCACCACATTCTTTCTTCGCACTCACTTCCTACCCCAGCTGCAGCTGTCGGCCCTAAAAAACCAGACCAACAAACAAACAACAAACCAGTAAACTTATTTTCAGCTTGTCAATTTTTCTGCACTCTCCAAACAGGATCTAATGAGTGTAATAGTCTTGCTGTCAAGTAGAGTTTATTTCTTTGGAACATTTACCGTGTTGTAACGCGTTCAGAACTCTGTATCTGTCAGGTTCTGCCTAGATCCAGTCTCTCCTGTTACTGGTGATACTGACCTGCATTAGCAGCTGCAGCCCTGCTCTAGGCTCTGGATCCAAACCTGCCCCGTGGCTTTCTGATACTAGCTTTCCCATTACCATTTTCTGGCCCCCGTTTTCAACACACCTGTTCTTTTGTGTGATTCCCTCCCAATGCTGATCGCTTGCTTACCCTCAATATACCAATTTCTGATATTCTGTCTTTGGTACATACAAAATCCCTTCGCACATCAAGGGATTTCCATGGAAACTGAAACATAGGGGAAGAAGGGACTCTGTACTGGAGTTTCTCTGGTGTTGGACATGTTTTATGTCCATTTTGCAGCGAGTCATTGCTGCCTCATCCCCCAGACAAGCCTTCACTGTAGGAAGGTTGCCCCCACCCCTTGTCAGCAAGAAGCAGTGCCTCGAATGCAGCCGTTTGCAAGTTTGTTCTCACAGGAGTCATATCATCAGGGAGCAGGGCATCACTCTAGGCAAGCAGCTTATTTAAGATTAAACCACAGAAAGGAAGAAAAGAGGCTATGGGCAGGTTGAGAGATAGAGGGCTAGACCAGATGGCCTCTTGAATCCTGAAGCTTTGGGTCACCTCACTGCAGATGGCAAGAGATGCTTCCTGAATCACCACGACTGGATAGGATCTCTCCTTCCCCTGAACTTTGCCACCATTCAGCATGATCTCCACGGGTTTCACTTCTAACATTGACTGCCTGATATTATGAAGTATGTTGGGTGTGTGTCTTATTCTCCAACTAGACAAGAGTTTTCTTATAGCTCTTCATATCTCCTTTGGTACCTAGGACAGTGCCTTGCACAGAGTCGATTAACTATAAAATGTTTTTAATTGAAGTAGAATGAAAGTTGCTCTACAGAGTAGTTAGAGAGCTGTATCCTCTCGTTGGAAGGGTGTAAGTAGGGCCTAGTCAGCCAGTTACCTGTGATGCCTTTAGGAGGAAGTAATGCAACAGCTAGAAGGTTGAGGTGGAAGACAGCTAAAGTCTTTTCCACCGTGAGAGTCTGTGATTCCATGAAGCATAGCTAACGCCAGCACTGAGTCTGATGATGGAAAACCAGTTGCTGGCTCACAGAGAAATGACTCTCCACATGGCTTTTCTGTTTGCTCTGTAGAGCAAATGGTCCACAGGTCGGGTGGCTCTTTGACTAGCATACTTCCCTAGCAGCACACATTGCTCCCCAGGTTGAGTGATGGAGTACGTAAGATGGGCAATTTGTGTCCCACTGAGGTTTCAACCCTTTAAAGAAGTCTCCCCCTGAAGTAGAAGGAGAAGCAGATGGTAATGAGAAAATATGCACATTTTATTATGCATTGCACATTTTACGTATTAGAATTTTTAGTATGACACCCCGCATTTTTCAGAAGCCTAAAGCTGCAAACAAAATTAAATTATTCACTGAAATGTTTAAATCAGCTTACAGCAATTATATCAAATTATCAAAATAAAATCCAGTAGTCTAGAAGGTAGATTCCCCTTGACCAGCCACTTTGAAATCTGACTTTCAAAGGGTGGCTCTTCCCCTCAAGAAGGGAGAAGTGCTGCTCCGTGAGATGAGGGTGGGAGGGGAGTGCATCCTTGATGAGGTTGTAGGGAGGTTGATGGTCGAGTTGGGGAGAGGTGGTGGTGGGAATGAGGGCAAGTGAACATGCCAGGAAGTTCTGTGGAAGAAGGGGCACCTACGAGGGGGTTGTGAAACAAGGTGCCGAGAGATGCCCTCCTGGCCTTACCGTATGCCAGCCTGCCCTCCCACAGAGCGTGTGGGGATTAACACGCCGTAGTGGGGGACCATCACAGGACTCTGTGGAAGAGGGGGTGTGAGGCAAAAGTGGAGAATGACTGTGACTGTGGATCTTAGGCACAGCACCCTTCTTATTTTAAAGCCAACTTGAATGATCACTATCAATCCGCCAAGGCACGTGAGAGTTTTTCAGAAATCATCAGATGCAAAAAGCTATCCTTTCAAATGTGCATTAATTGGTTCCAATCCAATATTCCAGTGGCGTCTCTTAGACTTGTAGCCCTAGGGACTGGAAGAGATCTTAAAGCTCATCTACTCTAGCCCCCTTCCCCCATTTGATACTTGAATTCCCTATCCTGACAGATGGTCACGCAGTGTCTTGGAAAGAGCTGGGGATCTGGAATCAAACAGACCAGGAGCCAGATCCTGAGCTCCTCCACCCATTGTCTCTTTGACCTAGAACAAACGACCTAATCTCTCTGTGCTTTCATTTCCTCAGCTGTAAATTGTGAGCAGTATCAACACTGCAGAGGTGTTGTGAGAATTAGAAATAACATCAAAGTGCTGAGCATAGCCCCTGGTATTGAGTAGGACTTCAGTAAATAATAGGTTCAATGCCAATTACAATAATTGAATAAAGTGTCCCTCCCCAGCCTCCTCTTGAATACAGAGGTCTGTGATGCAAATGCTTCCGTTGTTGGGCAGGCTTAATGGTTAGAATTTTCTGCCACGTGTTGTGCCCAATTCTCTTTCCCATAACTTTTTCTATTCATCCTCTCTGGTTCTGCCATTTGTGGCCCCACAGAACAAGTCTAAACATTCTCCCACAGTTAACGTTACAAATATTTGAAGATAATTTTAATATCTCTACTGAGTCTTCTCCATGGTAAACCTATTTGGGTCCTTGAATCTTTCTGTATGTGACTTGGTTTTCATCTCACCCAGGACACTGCAAAGCCCCTTTCCCTAATATATGAGCATCCAGGAAGGATGCTAGCCAGCCACAAAGAACAATTGAGATAGCAAGTCTTAGATTTTATTCATACTGAATAAGTCTGCGACTGTGTCCATAACTCCAGGAACATTCTAATGCATACCCTACAAATATATTTCAGTTTCTCCTGCTTTGTACCATAATGTACAGGAATAGAAGCACTACTATATAATTCTGTGAGGAAAGGTGCCTTATAAAAACTATATTGTCAGATGCTGACTTGAAAACTTACGTCCGTATAATTGTGGTAGATTTGATTGTGTTATTGCCTCCTCGCCCAACTTTACCTTCTCTGTGTCAGTGATCTTTTCCATATGACTTTGAGGTTCCTGCCCTTTGACTTGAGATTCAGCAGTGACTTTCTTCGGCCCACAGACTAAAGCAGAAGTGACAGCATGCCAGTTCTAAGCCTAGGCCTAAGAGGCCTTGGATACTTCCAGTTGTCCTACAGCACCCTGCCATCACCATGAGAAGAGCATACCCTGGCTAGCCCACTGGTCCAGGGAAGTTGGGCACGCATGTAGGATAGGAGCCCTAGCAAAGCCCAGCCTATATCAGCCAACCCCCTAGCCAACTTACAGACTCTTGAGGGAAAAAAAAAAAAGATTACTGTTTTCAGGCACTGAATTTTGGGGTGTTTTGTTATGCAGAATTTTTGTGGCAGGAGATAACTATTACAGAAGTTATGTGGGCCAGAAAACAGATAGCAGTACTAACCCCACCTCACCAGAGTGTAAGCTTAGAATAAGTAATGAACGATTTATAAAACTATAACAGGCTAGATGAATACTTCTTAAAAATGATTTATCAAATTGTAACTTTGTTTCTTTTATAAACTGTGGCCAAGAAGAAAGTGTGTGTATATTATATATCATTAATGAAATAGCTAATGAAAAAATCAAACTCAATATCCAAAGATACATGAAGAGTTAAGGGGTCTCCTATTTGGTGTAGTTCACTCATTTACTCAAGAAGTGTTTAATGAGTAACTGTCATGTATCAGCACTGTTGTAGACCCTAGAGATATGGTTGTGGAAAAAACAGACAAGGTCAGGTCTCATGAAGCTTATATTCTAGCAGAGACTCAGAAAATAAAAATCAAATAAAAAAAGAGAACTTCAGATCACTGGTAAGTGTTGTGAAGAAACTCAGGCAGGACCATGGCTACCTTAAGTAGTTTAAGGAAGACCTTTCTGAGGATGTGACCTTGAAACTGAGACATGAATGACATGAATGGGCCAAGGGAAGAAAGGCCACACTGACGGAAATAACAAATGCAAAGTAGGAATAAGCTTGGAGCGTTCGAGGTATAAACAGTGGTATAGAGAGGAGTAATACGGTATGAAATGAAGTGGGAGGCTAACAGGGGCCAGAACATGTAGAGCTCTGTTGGCTGTAGCAAGGAGTCCATGTGTTATTACAAGTATAATGGAACCCATTGAAGCGTATGAAGCACATGACCTGATTTATGGGTTTTAGGAGCTCGCTCCTGGCTGCTGTGTGAAGAGCAGTTTGTGGGTAAGTGGATAAGAGTGAAAACAGGGAGGTCAATTAGGTCATCGTGGTAATGGCTACACAGCATGATGGCAAGGATGGGGAAACATGGAGAGGTTTGAGGCGTATTTTGAAAGTAGAATCAAGACTTGCTAATGTATTGGATGCGAGGAAAAATGAGAAATGAAGGATGACCACTAGGTTTTTTGTTTGGGTAACTGAGAGGATGGCTGGTGGTACCATTTCCTGAGATGAGGAAAAATGGAGGAGAAGTGAATTAGGGGACGGAGAGGTCATGAATTTTGTTTGTATGAGTTAAGTCAGAAATTACACATCTATGTGGATTCGCCAAGTAGGATGTGGGACATAAGAATTCGGTACTCAGGGCTGAAGATGTCTGTTGGGCAGTCATGAGCATATCAATGGTATTTTCGCCAAACGACTAGATTAATTCCCCTACCTAGAAGAAAGAAGTTAAATTTTTTTAATTTAAAACTTAAAAAGTTTTAGACTTTAAAAATTGTTAGAAAAAAAAAGAAGTGGGAGGACTAAGCCACAGAGCACAGTAACATTTAAAAGCTCAGCAAACGAAGAGGAGACAGAACAAGAGCTGGAGAGGGAAGCTGAGAGAGTGTGATGTTGTGGAAGCCAAGCGAAGAAAATGCTCCAGGAAGGAGGAGAGAGTTGTCAGCTTGGGTTGGGTTGGGTTGAATGCAACTCAAGTCATAAAGTAAGATGAGGACAGAGGCATGAACCCTTGGATTTGGCAATGTGGACCTTGAAAATAAAAGATTGGAGACCTTGAAAATAAAAGATTTTGTGGAATAAGAAAGGTAGGAGAGGGCTTCCCTGGTGGCGCAGTGGTTGAGAGTCCGCCTGCCGATGCAGGGGACACGGGTTCGTGCCCCGGTCCGGGAAGATTCCACATGCCACGGAGCGGCTGGGCCCGTGAGCCATGGCCGCTGAGCCTGCGTGTCCGGAGCCTGTGCTCCACAACGGGAGAGGCCACAACAGTGAGAGGCCCGCGTACCGCAAAAAAAAACAACAAAAGAGAGGTAGGAGTCAAAAATGGTATGGATGAAAGGGAATGGGAGATGAGAAATTGATGACTGAGGTTTTGCTGAAAAGGGGAACAGAATGGAGAGGTGCCTACAGTTTCAGGTTTTGTTTTATTTCATTTCGTTTTAAATAGGAGATTCTGGGGTGTGCTTAAATGCCAGTGGAAGTAAACCAGGCGAGAGAAAGAGGAAAGTTGATACTGGAGGAGAGAACGTGGACAAAGACAGTGTCAGTGTCCTTGAGAAAAAGGAGACCCAGAGCTCAGTGGAAGCATTGACCTGTGAAGTACCTTCCATGGTAATAGAGGAAGGCAGGCAGTAAGAGTAATAGAATGCGGGTAAATTGGTGGATTTGGCGGTGGGAAGGTGAGCGATCTTGTCGCGTTTGCTTATATTTTCTCAATGAGCTGTGACTTTAACTCATCATCTGCGAGTGAGCCAGAACTTCTGAATCCTGAGCCCAAATGCACTATGTCCTTCATTTACCATTTGGTATACTTGGAAAGAATGAAAATGATAACCCCTTTTGTATAATGTGCTTTAAAGAGCTAGCAAATGATAAAAGAATCCATGTATATTCTTTCATTAGGTATTTTCCCCTGAATCATTCAAGTTCCCAGCAGGGAACAGAATTCACATGGTTTGTTTAAGTGAAGACACTTTAATGATGGGGGCCTACTTACAGAGATGAGAGTGGAATTAAGAGATGCTGCACCCAGAGACTATCAACAGCCAGAAGTCGTTACCACCCTCAGCAGCAAAGGGTCAAAAGGGAGATTAGTATATAGTATTAGATCCCAGTGAGCGCTAGAGCCCTCAAAGAGGGACCAAGCAGCGTGATCACTCATTGAAGAGACCTGTAGCTACAGGGAAGTAGTGCCAAGCAGAGAGGGAAGGAGAAAGAAATACCTACTTCTCTCTCCTCCCATCTCTTGCCGATGCATCCCAATGGCTGAACCCAACTGGAAGCTGGCTAGCAAGGAGCCTGGTGATGCAGTCCATGGTGAAGGACAGAGACTAGATCTGCAGTGAATAACCAGCACAGCCCCTAACACTTCATGCCGTAAATGTGAAAAGATTTTGAAAACCACTCCAGGGGGAATCTTTGCACCCAATGCCATTGTATGGAATGCATCTTGTTATGTGGTACCAGCAGGATTTGCAAAACCCAAGTAAGGAGCTAACCATGATCTTTGATACAAATCATCATGGGTACTTGTAACCCACCCATAATCTCCAAAAGTCATGTTTGCCCATAGTCTTCCTCCTTTATTCCCATCCAGAGCGCACTGCCCATAAAACTAAGGAAGCTTCCATTTCAGGGCCCCTCGTGTGCATGAGCCCACTTCCAAGGCCATGGGGCAGCCCTAGAAATGTATTCATGTGGTCATATGTTTTTGTAAAACTTGCAAGAATAAGGTATTTTAACTGTAATCTGGTAAGACTATAACTTTTTTCCCTCTGACCCCAGAAAGGACTTCCTCCTTCCCCCGTTATATGCCTTTCAGGCATCACAAAGCCTGGATCTGCTTCTGCTTTCAACAGAGACTCGCATGTACTGGTGCAAATGTTATCCTTTCCCCACGATTCTACCACCTTTCTGGCAGCGTGGTTAATGAGCCTCAAAACGGACACTTGGGGTTGGGGAGGATGCAGCTGGAGGATAAAGAAAAGCAAAGAACGGAGGGATGGATGTGTGGTGTCAGAGTCAGTGGGGGAGTTGGGGCAGGGCGCTGGGCCTGCAGAGCCCGCCCTCTGGTCTTCCACCGGGAGTGATGGGGGGCTGGCAGGTGTCCCACCAGGTAACTAATTCCTCTCTGGGGCCTCGCTCAGAAGCTGCTCTTTATGTTTTCAGATGCAGATGGAAACCTGTGTCGAAGTAACCAACTGTTGCAAGTCCTGCTGACCATGCACCGAATTCTCATTTCCTCTGCTGAACTGCTCCAAAAAGTTATCACTCTATATCCTTTAGCACAGTGCCTGGCGGTCCCCACGTGGGATTCGTTCAGCAGTGTCTTGAAATTGGAAGGATGCTTTCACTTTGGTTGCTTTGGCATAACCCTGAGTGGTTAATGGGTTCATACGTCCTTTCATGGTACGGTGTGCGTGTCTGTGTGCATGTGTGTGTGTGTGCATATGTATGTGTGTGTATCTTCTGTTGGGCGAGGCAATGTTATTGATGCTGATTGCTCTGGGAAGAGGCCAAAGAAATCAACATGCAAACATAGTCTTCTTTGTTAGTTCTTGCTAGTGAAAAATCGTTTTCCTGTAGATTAATCAAAATTCATATTTATCCCATGCAAAATGACAAGGGTGCAAGCATGACTCAAGTGATAAACTGCACTGTGGCTTTCCTGTCCAATTCTTCAGCCTGCCTCAGGTTCTGAAGAGCGCTTTCTGATGCCAGAGCATCTGGAGAGGCTGCTGGTGCCTTTTTGCTTAGGCAGAGGCACTGGCTACGTGCCAAGCAAACCCTGCCGGATTCTAACCTTCTCTTGGGGGTGTGAATGGAGTTGGGTGGAGAAAACGGCTGCCTTCTCCCTCTCCCTGATGACTGATGACACTGTGGGCTGTAGGTGGGCTGAGACTGTTTAGCACCTTGAAGCCCAGGTCCCTGGCACTGAGTCATGCTTTGTAGCTGTTCTAATCCTTTACCACTCTCCTCAGCCATTCCTTTTCATCTCATGGCACACAGAAAAAAACGTAAAGACTGAATCTCTTCTCTAAAGTGACTCATAAACCTTTACCTCTCATCTCAGAGGAGGTGTTTTCAGTGGCATTCCAAGGGTGCAACCTTGGGAGGGGTCCACGTTATGAGAGGTGCAGGTAATAATTGGATGTCTGGCCTGCAGAGAATTTTAAAACCGTAATAAAAGAGACTCAGAGTTGGTCTACTTTTTATTAACTCCACGTACCAGCAATTCTAAACAATGTCAGTGATTAAATACTCCTCGCTGAAAAAATTTTGTTGCTCTAAGGACTGAGCTGTACCTGGGGCGCCTGTCTTGGTGCCCCGCCGGGTACCTGCCCCCACGGTGACAGCAGAGCCCTCTTCCTCCCCATCCTCCCTCCCACTCTCACAGAATCTTTCTCTATCAGTTATCTCCCCTCTCTCCTGTCCTTCTAAACCCTGCCTCTTCAGGGGCACCTGCCTCTCAGCCTAAAACACATTCAAGTCTCCCCAACCTAAAAATAAACTCTCAACCCTGCCTCCCCTTCATTCCATTGATAGGGTTAGAAATGTGATGCACAGACTTCTTAAAATAGTCTGCACTCACTCTCTCCCATCGCTCAACTCCCACTCAGTCCTTAACCCGACTGTGGGCCCCACCCCTGTACTCAGACTTTCCTCTGATGTCACCAGTGACCTCCTAGCTGCCAAGCCTGGTGGCTTTTGTTTCCACCCTTGTTTACAGCGATGTCTGTGTAGAGGCCTTGTTGACACCCCCTGCCTCTCCAGACTCCCTCCAGGGCCCTGGGAACTGCACCTTCCCGGCTCTCCCTCCTCCTGGGCTGCCCTCCTCCACCTCTCCATCCAGCCTCTTCTTTGCGTACCTCCTCGAGATGGGGATAACATCCTGGTTTCTTCTCACTGCACTTCCCCTGGGTGATTTCCCACCAGGATTTCCACCACCATTCCTCTGAGGTCTTTCAAGTCCATATTTCTCTAACCCAAACCATTTTTTTTTTTAACGTTTGTACCACTTTATCCTGCAGACACTGCAATCTAATATGCTTAAAACTTAACTCATTAACTCACCACCTCAACTACTACTACTATGAGTTCTGCTTTGATACCTGTATTTTCAGTTTCAGTTCATGGTATTGCTGCCCATCCGATGGTCTTAAAGCGGCAACATCAAAGCACTCACAGTCCTCCGTGCCTTTCACCTACAGAGTCCGTCACCCAATCTCAGGGTTCCTGCGTCAGAAGTGACTGCGTCAGAAGTGACTCTTTTCTCTCCATTCCCATGTCTCTGCCTTTGGTCCCTCACGGTCTCTCTCCCCAGCCTCTGTCCCATCCTGGGCTTCTCATCTTCACAGCCACCCTCTCCCTCGTTTATCCACCTCTGCAGCTACTTTCCTGAGAAGCGAATCAGGCAGGCCATGCTCCAGAGCCTCTGCAAATAGAGGGTAATGGCAGATCCTCGGTTGCCAGGAAATGGCCCTCCACAGGCTGGCCCAGTGTGCCCCTACTGCTCTATCCTCAGCTCTCTCAGAAACCCTTTCCCCTCCACGGTGAACGTCTCAACATACCAGACTGGAATAGCTTCTTTTACCTGTCAGTTAAAGAAGCTCAGATGGCTTCCTTTTGTTTCCTGTTTTTCCATTGTTAGAGGAAAAAAAATTTAACAACATGCTTTGAATAGTTCAGATGCCTGAGAAGTACAGCCAGAACTGCCCTGGTACTTCATGGCCACAGCACTGCCTATGAGGATGTGGAGCCTGAAGCTTGCAGCAAACAATGACGATTACCCCAGGTCAGCAGATGCCTGAGCCCCTGATTACTGGCCTGCGTGTGCTGCTGTTTGCTTCATCTCCTCACGTGAGAAAGCAGTGCCTGCCTTGCTCGAGGCTGCCTCCGCTGTGGCACAAGGGCTCTGCGACCTTGGGAGGCTCTGCCCTCCTGGATGGCACCTGGCACTGTGCACTGGGGAACGGACGTGTGAAGAGAAGGGTAGGGAGCAAACAGAAGGAAGATAAACTCCATGATGAAAGGCACCATGTTGATTCTTATGTCCACCCAGTTGTCTTAAAAGAAAAGTGGGTTTTTTTTGTGTGTGAGTGCCTTCCTCATTAATAAGGGAGAAGTTAAATCTTTCAACAACTAGATCAAATAATAAAAATATAGACTCTAAGACGTATTTATCTAGAATGTGCCTTATGCTTGAATCTCTTTGCACCGAAGGGATGCATTTTCTTACCCATGTGGTATAAAGAAATGTAAAGAGAAATGTAAAGTCATGTCATTCTCACTCCTCCCTTTCATGTCCAAAGAAAGGCAAGCATTGGAACCATTCACTTCATGAAATTTGCCAGTTGCCTAGGCTTATTTTTTGGATTGATTACCTTTGTTCTTGGTGTGTGTGTGTGTGTGTGTTTTGTGTTTCTGTTTGATTTTGGTGCTCTCAGGGACAGATTTTATAACAGTAAATCTATCAAAATTTAGGTTTTTTAAGTTAAAGTCATTTTATGAAACGTACAAATTTCACAGCCATAGTTTTTCTTTAGGGGTTCAAGTTTAGCTTGCAAATCTTACTGTTCTTCCTATAAGTCTAGAATGTCCCACCAGGCACTTTTAAGGAACCTTGAAAAATGTTTGGTTAATTGGAATAATGGTTTTAAACTATAATTATGAATTTTATTTCTTCTTCCAGTTTTATTGAGATATAACCGACATAAAATACTGTGTAAGTTTAAGGTTTGAAGCGTGATTCATGATAAGTTTAGTGAACATCTATCATCTCATATAGATACAAAATTAAAGAAATTTAAATTTCTTTTCATGTGATGAGAACTTAGAATTTTCCCTTAGCAACTTTCATGTATAACGTCGAGCAGTGTTCATTATATTTTTATCATGTTGTACATTACATCCCTAGTACTTATTCATCTTATAAGTTTGTATCTTTTGACTGCCTTCATACAATCCCCCTTTTTCCCATCCCCTGCCTCTGGTAACCACATATCTGATCTATTTTTCTATGTTTGTTGTTTCTTTGTCCGTTTTTGAAGTATAATTGACCTACAACACTATGTTAGTTTCTGTTACATAACAGTGATTGGATATGTCTATACATGTCAAACTGGTCACCACAATAAGTCTAGTTACGGATATGTCACCCTACAAAGATATTACATAGTTATTAACTGTATTCCCCATACGGTGCATTTCTTACCCATGTCTCATTTATTTTGCAAATGGAAGTTTGTACCTCTTAATCTTCCTCACTTATTTCTTTCTTCCCCCTACTTCCCTCCCCTCTGGCAAACACCTGTTTGTTCTCTGTACCTATAACTCTGTTTTGTTATGTTTGTGCATTTGTTTTTTCACATTCCACATATAAATAAAATCATACAGTATTTGTCTTTCTCTATCTGACTTATTTCACTTAGCATGTACCCTCTGAGTCTATCCATGTTGTCTCAAATGGCAAGATTTCATTCTTTTTTATGGCTGAGTAATATTCCAGTGTGTGTGTATGCATGTACCACATCTTCTTTATACTTTCGTCTCTTGATGGACACTTAGGTTGCTTCCATATCTTAGCTATTGTGAATAATGCTGCATTGAACACATGGCTGCATATATCTCTTCTAATTAATGTTTTTGTTTTCTTCAGATAAATACGCAGGAGTGGAAATTCTGGACCATATGGTAGTTCTATTTTTAATTTTTTGAGGAACCTCCATACTGTTTTCCACAGTGGCTACACCAATTTATGTTCCCAGCAACAGTGTGCAAGGGTTCTGTTTTCTCCACATCTTCACCAACACTTGTCATTTGTTGTCTTTTTGATAACAGCCATTCTAACAAGTGTGAGATGATACCTCGTTGTGGTTTTGATTTGCATTTTCCTGATGATTAGTAATGCTGAGCATCTTCTCATGTGGCTTTTGGCCATTTGTCTTCCCTGGGGAAAATGTATATACAGATCCTCTGCCAGTTTTTTAATCACGTTGGTTTTTTGATGTTGAGTTATATGAGTTCTTTGTATGTTTTGGATATTAACCCCTTATTGGATATATCATTTGCAAATATCTTCACCATTTAGTAGGTGGCCTTTTCATTTTGTTGGTGGGTTTCTTTTCCTTCACTGTGCGAAACCTTTAGTTAGATATAGTCCCATTTGGTTGTTTTTTGTTTAATATATTTATTTATTTATTTTTGGCTGTGTTGGGTCTTCATTGCTGTGCACGGTCTTTCTCTAGTTGCAGTGAGCAGGGGCTACTCCTTGTT